TGAGCAAAGCCTCCCAGACCCCACCTCCTGCTTGGAAGCCTCCCGAGACGCCTTTTCTTTTCAGGAGGGCAGCTCATCTTACAGCAGTCCCCCTCCCAAGCCCATTGAAGAGCTTCAAAGAAATGAGACCCAGAAATCTCACCAAAGTTAAAAATGGTTTTCAGGGGGCTGGAATGGTAGAGCACTGGCCTCACATGCATGAGGTCCTGGGTTCGATTCCTCAGCACTGCATACACAGCAAAAGCCAGAAGTGATGCTGTGGCTCAAGTGGTAGAGTGCTAGCTTTGAGCAAAAGCAGCTCAAGGACAGTGCCCAGACCCTGAGTTCAAGCCCCAGGACTAGCCAAAAAAAGCCAGGCGCTGGTGGCTTATGCCTGTAATCCTAGCTACTCAGGAGGCTGAGATCTGAGGATTGCAATTCAGAGCCAGCCTGGGCAGGAAAGTCCGTGAGACTCTTATCTCCAATTCATCACCAGAAAACTGGAAGTGGTGCAGTGGCTCTAGCCTTGAGCTGAAGAGCTGAGGGACAGCGCCCAGGCCCAGAGTTCAAGCCCCACGACCGACAAAACAAAAACAACAAAATTCCATAGAGCCTTTGTGTTCCTGCTCCACTGCACCCAGCGCTTGCTGGTGACGCAGCTTCTCTGGTGGCACTTCTCTGGACTTCCAGTGCCCGTCAGCTGTGTGGCCTCAGCATCGCCCCCTTCTCCCCCCCTCCTTCCCCCCCCCACCCCGCACGCCACTCCCCATTACACAGTAAGCGCTGTCAACTTCCTGTGGTCAGCTTACTTTCCCACTGCAGGGCGCACGCTGCCAGCTCGCTCCCACTCTGTCGTGCTGGCGGGGAGGTGGGGGTGGGAGGGGGCTCCTGGTCCAGGGACCACAAGACCCACCTTTCCTTACCCTCCAGTCCATGCCAGGGAAGGTGATGGCCCCAGGAAGTCCTCCCCCAGGGGAACCGAGCCTCTCCCCTGGGAGAAGCACCTGGGAGGGGACAGTGCTTCCAGCCGCAGCCGGCCGCTGGCTGAAGCAGCCTTGCTGCGCTTGCTCTGGCCGGGGTGCAGCTCCCCTGACTGGGGTGCCCGCTTTGAACAGCAGCTGCGGCCGCGGTGAGCTGATGGTGCTGGCTGGCCAGGCGGTGGCGCGTGTGCCACACAGACCTGCCCATCACCCCAGGCAGCCAGGCCAGATGGTTACCTGGCTGCTGAAGCAGGGCCTGCGGCGACTTGGCCATGCTGCTCTCCTGTGCAGCGGCAGATACCCGCCCGCTGGGCTTCAGGGGGGCTGCGGGCCTCCAGGAGCAGCCCCTGGCTCTGTGCGAGGCCCTGTTCTTTCCCCAGAAAGGAGAAAGCCCGCCCTTGCCCAGGCATGGAGACGGCTGGCGGCTTCTCAGAAATGGACAGGGCAGCATGCTCCGTCCATGCACCCTTCCCCTCACTGCTGCCCAGGGGAATGGCCCTCAAGGTGCCCACATGCCCTGCCCAGGCTTCGTCTCCTGCCTACTCCCTGCCCTGGACCCAGCCCTCCTGGCTGTTTTCACCCACACCTGGCCTGCCGGCCGTTGTGCACACAGGCAGAGCCGGAGACAAAGACCCCGAGGATGCCCCAGAGTGGGGTGACGTGGTCCTGGCTCCTGTTCACGCCACCACAAGGTGACCTTGGGAAGACACCTACACAGCCAGTGCTTTCCAGACCCCCTCCAAGCTCCCTTGCAGTTTTAATGCGGCCTGCTTGAGCCCCAGGGCACCCCACAGCCTTCCTCACTGCAGGTGGGCAGGGACCCGGCCAGAGCCATGGATGGATGCTTTCCTGTTAGCACAGCAAAAAGAACTTTCTAGTCACTTGGACCCAAAAATAACATCAAGGGGTTCTCTTTTGTTGGCCTCTTAATAACTCATTCCCCAGAGGCCAGGGCAGAGGGCCTGTGGTCCTGCCCAGTCCCCGTCCATAATTCATGTGTCACCCGCTGCCAGTTTCCACCGGCTGCTTCTATAAAGTTTCCGTTCCGCAGCCCTATGTGAAGGTCCGCTCACGTGCTTGCCACAAACCACCCTTCCCACAGGTAGCATGGCAGTACAGGACAAGACCCCTCTTCCAGGTTCTTCCAGCAAAGGGCTGAAGATTGGAGAAAGGAAGTGGCCTTCGCCCGGGTCCCCTGTCCCTGCTTGGTTCTCCACCCACAGCCCTGGTCTCCCAGTGCCCACTTATCAGCGGCCTCCAAATATTTAACTTAGTGCTGAATTCCACCTAGTTCCGTGTAACTTCAGATGGGAAAGATCGTTACCAGCCCTTCTCATTCGCCTCTCTTAGAACAAGTTAGGCACAAGCAGCACCTGCTTCAGGCTGTTCAGTTTGGTTTGTATCCCCTGCCAGGCGTAGGGGGGCTGCTGCCCTCAGTCAGGGGCTGTGCAGCCAGAACTCCCCTCCTGGGCATGCCCAGCAGGGGCAGGTAGCAAGAATCCTTCCCCAGCCACCTGCTTCCTGTCTCACAGGCCTCACTGCCCAGATGGCCTGGCTACCCCCACATCCATGCCTGGAGCAGTGGCCCTCCGTCTTTGCTGATCAAAGGCCAGCCGCCCGCGGGTTGCTGGGAATTGGGCTGCACAGGCGGAGAGCAGGTTTGCACCAACTCAGCCCACACCACTGGTGCAAAGCACTCCAGGAGCTGGCAGCAGAGCCCCAGGTAGCCCTGGAGCCCAGAGCCTTACCCTGCCAGCTAGACAGCACCCTCGTGCTGGGATAGGAGCTCGCGTCTCAGCAGCACGCATGAGATGTGGAATCACTCATTGTATTTCGCTCTTTAGATGAACCACAGCCCAAAGCTTCAAAGACACCGGGCACGAACGAGCCCACAGCGGCTCTGTCTCCCCAGCGAGAGCTCCCGGCATGGGGGCCCAGCGCGGTTATTTATTATTTATAAAAAACATTTTGCATTCATGAACTGCCTTTGTTAGAAAAATCAAAATCAGAACACAGGGGAGTGGCTCAGAACTCCAGGCCCATGGCAGGCAGGCTGCTCAGGAGACGGAGGCCTGCCCACCGCAGGCCTGGAGCCAGCGGTGTGGTTCCAGACACTTCCTAGAGAGGAGCTCAGTATGATGTTGGCCCCTCACACCACCCCAGCGACCTCCTAGAACCCCAGCCCAGCCCGCAGGGTCAACTTGGCAAGGCGTTGTCTCCCCAGATTCCCAGCCTCCCTTCCCGCCTGCTGCCTCAGCCCTGGTGGAGCTGAGGCCTGGCGGTGCGCGCATCACCAGGTCTGCCGAGCACTGTCTCGCGCACTGACCACCGCCCGCCACGTGAGGAGGAGCCGAATGGCCTCCAGTTGCCATCTGCCACCACCAGGAGCCCCTCCCAACAAGAAGCCTGCGGACCTCGCTTCCTCCCCAGTCCCCGCATCCCTTTGATTTGCCACTCCCTTTGTTTAGCCATTTAACACCAACTTGAACCTCAGACACAGCCCGGGGACGCTGATGGGCTGCCACATTTCTAATGATGAGCATCAGATTAGCACACGCTGTGAAAGTAAACCAACACCAAGAACCAGCCCGGGGCTGGGAGAGCTGCACGAGCAGGCCTCTGGGGCCCTGTCCAGAGCCCGGGGCAAGGAGGCCGGCTCTGCATCAGCATCCCCCCACCCCCACCCCGAGACCCTCATGGAGACCAGCTCTAAGCCTGGCTCACTATCAGTGTTATCAGGATTGTACCAAGGAGCAAGCTGAACCTCCAGACCAGGAGGGGCACACCCACAGGTTCACCCACCCCGCCATGAACATGTTTCCTAGGGGATCTTGGGTTTCTACAAACCCAAGGCTGGGGCAGAGCAGAGGAGACCGTGCATGCTCAGTACTAAAACCGAATGAGAAACTAAACAGCAGCCATGGCTGGGTAATCCAGAGAACTTTCTGGAAGGTAGGGAGATAGCTCCAAACAAGTATCAGCAGCTGAACCAAGCATCTTGTAAATGCCCACAAGAGACTTGGAGAACCAACTACAAGGAATGCCAGCCTCCCCAGCCTTTGCTGCCCACCTCCACTGGGGTGCATGGCCTTTGTTTCTGTGCTCTCCCTCTCCCTCTCTCTCTCTCTCTCTCTCTCTCTCTCTCTCTCTCTCTCTCTCACACACACACACACACACACACACACACACACCTCGATGCCGTCTTTCATTTGGAAGTTGACAGCCAGGGTTAGAGGGTTGGAGGTGAGCAATGCCTGGCTCTACCACTGCCACCTGTGCTAGGGACCACAGGTCCCTGCTGCCAGGAGCTGGGGGTCAGCCGGCCATGAGCCCCAGCACCCACACACCAGTACCGAGTGTGCGGGGATGTGCCCAGTGCACATAGCTGGGGGCTGCATTCCCCTCAATGCCCATCTGGGGGCAGCGGCCTCTCCCCTAGGCTGAAGACAGGTAGGGTCTATGTTCCTGTGGGAAAACCAGCACCCCACACCCCAGATAAACAAGGGGGGACCATTAAGATGGTTACCCATGGGGCTGGGAGTGTGGCTTAGTGGTAGAGTGCTTGCCTAGCATGCATGAATCTCTGGGTTCCAGTACCACATACACAGAAAAAAGCCAGAAGTGGCGCTGTGGCTCAAGGCGTGCTAGCCTTGAGCAAAAGAAGTTCAGGGACAGCGCCCAGGCCTGAATTCAAGCCCCAGGACTGGCAAAATAAAATGGCCACCCGCAGCCGGGCGCTGGTGGCTCACGCCTGTAATCCTAGCTACTCAGGAGGCTGAGATCTGAGGATCGCGGTTCGAAGCCAGCCCGGGCAAGAGAGACCGTGAGACTCATATCTCCAATAAACCACCAGAAAACCAGAAGTGGCGCTGTAGCTCAAGTGGTAGAGCGCTCGCCTTGAGCTGAAGAGCTGAGGGACAGCGCCCAGGCCCAGAGTTCAAGCTCCACGACCGACAAAAAAAAAAAATGGCCACCCGCTGTCCATATTGTCTTGGGACACAAACCCAGCCCTTAATAGGAGCTGAGCAACCAACAGAGCCATTCACTAACAAACCTTTATTATCATTATTGTTGTTATTGTTGATAAAAATAGCAAGGCCTCGTATAGCACACTCTGTGGGACGCAGATGAGTGGCTGGTAGCTTTCAGGGACCCCGGCCACCCCTGGCGCCCCTGGCAAGCGCTCCTGCCCCGCGGGGCCACAGGCGTCAGTGGCAGAGGGCGATGGTCTCCACGTTGAGGAAGCGCACGTGCATCTTGGTCTCAATGTCGATCCCCTGCCAGATCTGGAAGGGAGAGCAGCGTGAAGGGGCGCTGGGCGCCTGCCCCATCCATCCCACCCGCCGCCTCCCACCCGCCCGGCACTCGCTCAGACTCCAAGCAGGTGAAAAACAGAGGGGCTTCGCTTGGAGGCGGTGAGCTAAGCGAGGAAGAGAAGCTGCCATCTGTCTTGGTGCTGGTTCATTTGGCTCTGATGTGGATTCTTCCTGAGCTTGTGACGGCGAGTTATGATTAAGTCCCAAACTCCAGCTTCACCCCAGTCGCTTGATCTCACCCATGGCCGCCGCCAGCTCTGAGTTCATGCGGATGACGCGACCCCACCGGACCCCCTTTGCGTTCACCCCATCTCAGGCTCGGGGCCTGGGTGGCCTGGCCCTCCCCAGGACGTCTCGTAGCCGTGGAGGACGTGCAGGCATCGCTCATTAAGGGACACACTTTGGTCCTCGTGACTCCCTGGGCCCAGAGATCACCTGTGCTCCACACAAACACAGGCCCAGGAAGTGGTGTCCACGCCACACATGTGGCCCCGCCACGACAGCCCACCCTAGTCAGCTGTGGCCTGGACATTTGGCCTGCAGGACACCTACACTGTGTCTGTGGCATCTGCAGGCCCGGGGGGTCGGCGGGGGAGAAGATGGGGCGGGGAGTGTGGGCACAGGAGCGGTGGGGCCTGGCAGGCTGTGATTTCCCACTGTCTCCGGCTCATGTCAGAACGCCATGTTCACAAGCTGTCTCCTGGAACATCTGGCCCTGGGGCTAGAAATGGGGAGGTCAGGGCCCGGGGCCCCCAGGGCTGGAGAGGCCTTGGACCCTGCTTGTTCCTGTCACCGCCCCCAGGCCCCATGCTGTCCCCATGCTGCTGGCCTCCCGCACCTGGGATGCCATGGAGGCTGCAGAGGGCAGACCTGGTTCTCAGAAATGCCACCTAGAACCACTCCAAGGTGGTTTCTGCTCTTAGGGCGGTCACTGGGGTGCTGGGTGGGGGCTGGCTTATCGTAGGATGCTCCAAGGCATAGACCAACAGCCTCTGCATGGTCTGAGACAAGACAGGCTCGCCCTGTTCTGACAAAGCCTTGAACTCCCCAGCGCCTGCCTGCCCGATCTCCTGGCTCCATGCTCTCTCATCCTGCTGGGGACACTTCCTAGAGCAGATCCCAGTGCAAGCCAGAGCTACTTGCATACAGTGTCACTGCTCTGTCAGCCCTGGGTAGTGAGTCTGGCCACCAGCTCGAGCCCAGCAGGCCTGTCTCTGTTCCTTGGGCTGGGTCTGCATCGCCTGCCCTGTGCATACCTCCCGATGACAGGCCCAGCCAGTGAGGCAGACGTAGAACCCCCAGCCCTGGTCCCCAGGCTCCCCAGAGGCTCTGGCCCTTCCAGGAACAGTCCTTGGTGGAGGGCTTGGTGCCGCTGGACCAGGAGCCCGGGTGGGTGTGTGAGGCCTGGAGCTCTGCATTCGTCTCGTGGGATATTCACACAGTTTCTTCCCCCCACTTCAGGGCATGTTAAAAATGGCTAGCTGGGTCCTGCCTGAAATCCCAGCAATTCAGGAGGCTGAGAAGTGAGGCATGGAGGTTGAAAGCTAGCACAGCTAGAAGAGTCTGAGACTCCATCTTCATTTGGCCAACAAAATGCCAGGATGAAGGCATGATTCAAATGGTAGAGCACCAGCCATGAACCAGCAAGAAACCTCGGTGAGAGCCCCGGGCCTTGAATTCAAGCTCTAGTACCAGCACCAAAAATGAACACAACCCCAGCAGGGGTGGAGGCCCACTGGGGGGATACCAGGGGCTAGTGGCTTTAACCACGGCACCAAGACTCACCGGGGACGGAGGGAGGAGAGCAAGATCCACTCCTGCACGAGCTGTTCATCCAGAACCTTCCAGAATGCCCTTGCCCCACTGTGACTACACTGCCCTGGGAAGGGGCGCACGGGTCTGTCCAGCCCAGACCAGAGCTGGGCTCTTCACGATCCACCCGTGTGACTCGCGCTGCCCTTGCCCCACGAGACACCATTTCCGTGGAGGCCAATGACGGCAGCGTCTGCAAGTCCTTCCTGCCAGAGGCCGTGCTGCCCATGGCCGCCTGGGCCACACCGCCTCGTGCCCAGCGGACGCCCCTGACCACCCCTCCGTGCAGACCTCCAAGCCCGCACGGCACCCACCTTCAGGAAGTCCTCAAAGGTGATGCCCTCGTAGACCTGATCCGGCTCCTGGGACAGAGGGGAGGGGGGGTGAGCAGCTTCTGCAGGGTGGGGCAGCCCGCCCCCCCCCCCCAGGAGAGGGGTTCCCCCTGGGGCCACCCTGAACCCCAACATCCTGGCAGGAGGCTGGTGTGAGCAGGGCAGGCTGGTGAAGAGGGTGGACGGGACTCCGTGTGCTCACTCAGCCCCCGGTCCCTCCTGCCACCCCGATTCGGCCTCCTCCCATGCAAGAGCTGTCTAGCTAATCAGCAGTCACAGTCGCCCGGGGGGAAGGGACAGGGGCTGAAGGACTGGCCTCTGCGGCCATCTGCTTGCTGCGAGTCACAGCGCAGCCGAGATAACCTGCCCACCGGGGAGGGGTGCGGAGTGCGGCCTGCAAGTGGCAGTGTCCTGTACATCATCTGCCAGCTCTGGGGATGCGGGCAATAAAGGGCCTGTCCCCACTGCTCGTGAGCCCTGACGCGGCCCAGCGTCCACAGCCCTCGTCCTCCTGCCCCTTGTGACAGCATGGCTGGCCAACAGCCTGGCCTGGCCAGTACAGTCCTGAAATCCATTAAGGCAGGGATGGGGCACGCGCGTTGAATTCAGTGGGAAGCACGGTGGGCCCCAGGGCCGCAGGGGTGAAGCCCCCGCACAGGGCCGCACGGAGACACCCACAGCTTGCTCTGTGCTCATCGGGCCAGGGTTCACACCAGAAAACCCGTTCAGCACATAGAGGGGCCAGAAGTCTGAAGAGGTGTGGCCAGAGCATCCTGCCTCTCAGCTGCCTCCTGGCTCCAGGCCCTTCTCTGGCCCATCGCTGCCTTCCTGGGGCCCTGGGAAGCTGGGCCCGGCTCAGGGAGGCCGCAGCGTCTGAGGCTGCCAATCTGCTGCCAGGCCAGCAGTTTAACTACAGCAAATGGAGAGAGCTGTTGCCAATGGACGCAAGGGGGACAGGAAGCAAGTGGAAGGAGAATGGGATTCAGCTGTGACCCCGGGGATCACAGCGCCCCTGTCCTGAGGGGCTAGGAAGCAAACGTGCCCCTGGACAACAGGCCAGGGCGACAGACGGTAGAACTGCCATGCAAACTCCCCCTGCTCTGGGCCAGCCAGACACACAGCCACTGTCCACGCAGAGGCAAGCGGGCACGGGCCTCACTAGAACCCAGGCCCCAGCCAGCCCAGCAGCCCCCAGCACAGGGAAGACCCCAGTCCCATATGACCCTCAGTTTCCCTGCTGGCAAGGTGAAGCTAAAAACAGGGTCTGCCTGAAGGCGGGGTGCACACCAGCCCAGGGAAGAGACCAGCCCAGCACTGCCTCTGTCATCCATTAAAACAGGCCGGGGTGTGTGGTGCCGTGCCCCGGCCCGGCCCAGCCCAGGACAGCCTGACTGGGGCAGGAAAAGCCCAGTTGGGGCCCAGTGAGCGTGTGGAGTGACTCACACCTGCTGGCCCAGTGCTGGCATTGGCTGGAGAGCTGCAGGTCTGGGGTTCGAGGCCCCCAGCCTCTCCCCCGGACCCCCCCGCCCACCTCCGCAGGCCGGGCGCTCACCATCTGCCCCACGCATACGCTGGCCGCCTCCATCATGGCCCCGTCAGCGATGGAGCGCGCCGACTCCTTCTCGATGTGGGGGTTTCCAGAGAGCAGCTCCTCCACCACCTGCCAGAGACCAGGGGTGACCCGGGCGGCCGAGGCGCCGGGCGGGGGGGCGGGGCGGGGCGGGGAGCATACTTTACATTTCGATATTCTTCCAGGGTGATGCGGCCGTCGCTGTCCGAGTCGTACATGTTAAACAGAACTGGAGGGGGGCGTGGGAGACAGGGGCTCCGTCAGGCAAGACTCAAGAGCCCGGGGGTCCCCGGATTGTGAAGTTTGTACCCCACTATGAGTGCAGGCCAAGCGCGAAAGCCCTGGGGCCTGACCACCTCCCACTGGGGTGATCGTGACCTGGGGGTCGGGGATCAGCTGCTGTGAGCTGTCTGCCCCGCGGGGCGCAGGTACGGCAGTGGGGGTGAGCCAGCGCGGGCCAAATGAACCCCCAGCAAACGTCACTACCAGGAAGTCCAGTTACTGGCTGCCCTGGCCTCGTCCAGCCGTCCACCCCCTCATGCGCCCCGGGACCGCTGGGGACGGAGGCCAACCCCGCGCCCCGCTCCCTGCTTGCAATGAGGCTGTGCAGGAGCCAACGCAAGTTCGAGACTACAGGGAGCCGCACCCCACCATGGGGTACGATGTGCCCAGAGCTCCCACCGTGCCCCTGCCCTGTTCAACATCGTCCCACCCACCCCCACCCCATCCAGGGTCACGGTCACGGGGTACCCGCACAGAGGCGCTGCGTGGAGATCCAGGGTGTGTTCGAATCCCACCCCCCCTTCTCCCAGCCAGCCACGAAAGGCTGCGCTGTTTAGGATGAAGCCACCCAGGCGTACCAGGAAGAGACGCACCCCAACCCTGCCCCTTAGAGCCCGTTCACCCCAGGATGCCACACCCCCCCCCCCCCACGCACATCTCAGCTTGTCTTTCCGGGACAGCTCCACCTGCTCCTCGCCCAGCGTGGTGTCGATGGGCCGGAAGTAGGACATGATGGTCAGGAAGTCCTCGAAGTTGATCTCATCGGCCAGGCCGCTGGGGCCCCTGCGCAGGTTCCTGCAGCGGGATGGGGCCGGCGTGGGGGAGGGGCCCCGGTTTGGGGAAACTGAGGCCACCGGCAAGCCAACAGCTCAGCCATTCCCCCGCCTGACCCTCGCCTGGTTTTGGACAGCCCATCCACTCAGGGGGTTTTTGTTGGGCTTGAATTCAGGGCCTGGGCGCTGTCCCCAAGCATTTTCACTCAAGGCTAGAGTTCTGCTACGCTGAGCCCCAACACCACTTCCCGATTTCAGGTGCTCATGAGAGTCTCATGGACCGGGCTGACTTCCAACCGCGATCCTCGGGTCTCAGCCTCCCGAGCAGCGAGGACGCAGGTGGGGGCCCCAGCGCCTGGCTTTTTTTTTTTTTTTTAACATTCATCAATGGTTGGGAAAATGTTTTTAAAAATAAAAGAAATACTGTTTCGTTGCCAACGAAGTTTCTGTGTCATTCGAAGTTCAGGGTGTATAAATAGAACATGGGAACCCGCGGTGCCTCTGGCTTCCTGTGGCTGGTGCGGTGCGGTTTTGAGGCCCAGGACACACAGCCTTCCCCAGAGAACGCTTGCTGGGGGTGCTTCCCAGGTTTAGTGGGGTAACAGCTGTGGGCAGACGTCCTGCTGTCCCCAAATACCTGCTATAACGCGCACGAGCACCGTGTGCTGCCGTGGGAGCCCCTGCCCCCCCCCCCGCCCCCGCCCCCCCCGCCCCCCCGCCCCCGCCCCCCCCGCCCCCCCCCCCCCCCCCGGCTCTGCTCTCTGCCCTCCCTCCCCGGTCCTCCCCGCATCTCCCCTGCACCTCCTGCGGCCCTGCTACAGACAGGACGGCTTTGTTGAGTGCGTCTGAGGCCCTGAGTTCCAGTCCCGGCTCCCCCGCCAGAGAGAACCAACACAGGAGCCGAGGTGCCCGCGCCACCCAGCTGGGCCTCTAGAACCGGGACTCCTCCCCCCCCCCCCCCCCCCCCCCGTGCTGATGGGAACCCGGGGCCAAGGACCCTCCCCCCTCCCGGGGGAGGGGCCCACCTGTTGTCGAAGAAGGCACGGATGATTTTGGACCGGATGGGGTTGAGCTCCAGGTCAGGAACATTGTTGAAGTTTTCCTTGCTGGGTTCGAGAAGGGGAAGGGAAAATCACAAGAAAGAGTTGTCGGTTGTGAGTTCCACACTTTCCAGCTGTAGCTTTGCCCCTCACGGAACTTTCCAGAGGAGCTCAGAGAAGAGCCGGGACCTCTCATCTCAATCTCAGGGACAAGAGGGAGAATTTGTAGGGGGGAGGTGGGGGTTGTGCCAATAGTGGGGTTTGAACTCAGGGCCTAGGTGCTGACCCTTAGCTTTTCTCTCAGACTGGAGTGCTACTACTTTTGCCACAGCTCCACTTCCAACTTTTTGCTGGTTAACGGGCAATCAGAGTCTCACGGACGTTCCTTCTTGGGCTGGCTTTGGACCACAATCCTCAGTGTCAGTCTCCTGAGTAGCTAGGATTGCAGATGTGAGCCAGCGGTGCCCAGATGAGCAGGGAGACCTGGAGGCTCAAGAGCCCAGAGTAGCCACAGTCAGTGGAGAGTATGCCACCCAGGCATACGCCAACTGGTAAATAGGCCTGCCTACACAAAGGAATACAATGCAGTCATGAAAAGGGACGGAGTACTGGAATTCACCACCTCATGGCTGACCCTTGAAGAAAGACACCAAAGATCTTGTTCCAGGCTGGGCACCTGGTGGCTCCCGCCTATAATCCTAGCTACTTAAGAGGCAGAGATCTGAGATCTGAGGATCATGGTTTGAAGCCAGCCCAGGCAGAAAAGTCCATGTAACTCATATCTCCATTAAACTTAAAAAAAAAAAAAAAAAACAGAAGTGAAGCTGTCCTTAATTAAGCACTAGCCTTGAGCCAAAGAAGCTCATGGACAGTGCCCAGGCCCTGAGTTCAAGCCTCAGGACAGGTTAAAAAAAAATCCTGTCCCACAAGTTCATTTAAATGAGGTGTCCTGACCCATTGAGACAGGAAGGAAAATAGGCAAAAGGGGAAGGGGAGAAAATGATGGTTTAGAGGATGAGGCTTCTTTGGGAAGTGGCAAAGATATTGTGAAAAATGGTGCTGGACAACTTTTCCGAAGTCACAGTGACTTACGTAGTTTAATGGTGAATTTTATTTCAGTAAAGTTTTAGTTGTTGCTGTGGAGTTTGAACTCAGGGTCTGGGCACCTTCTCTTGAGCTCTTTTTTGCTCGAGGTTAGTGCTCACTACCACTGGAGCCGCAGCTTCATTTCTGGAGTTTTGGAAGTTAACTAGAGATCAAAGTCTCATGGACTTTCCTGCCCAGGGTGGCTTTGAACTGCGATCCTCTGATCTCAGCCTCCTGAGTAGCTAGGATTACCACCAGTGCCCGGCTTAAGGTGGTTTTTCTTTGTTTCTTTTTTTTTGTCAGTTGTGGGGCTTGAACTCTGGGCCTAGGCGCTGTCTCTGTGCTCTTAAACACAAGGTTGAATGCTCTACCACTTGAGCCACAGTGCCACTTCTGGTTTTCTTGATGGTTCAATGGAGATAAGAGTCTCAGGGACTTTCCTGCCTGGGCTGGCTTTGAACTGCGATCCTCAGATCTCAGCCTCCTGAGTAGCTAGGATGACAGGCATGAGGCTCCGGCTTCTGGGCTAGCTCTGGGCCTGCGGGTGGGGAGGGAGGGACGTCTCTTCCCAGAAGGCCGCCCTGCAGTGGGCGCAGGTCCTTCGGGCCTTGGGTACAGAGGCAGCGTGTGCTCATGTCTGGCTTGGTTCTCGCCAGGCCACGGCCTCCGGCGTGCGCGATCCTGCTGTCCCCAGCAGCCATGACCTTGGGAGGGCGGGGCCTGGGCTGTCAATCTCAAGGGAGGCCCTGGGTGATTGGGAGGAGAGCAGCCTGGTCAAGACCAGACTCAAACCTGGCACAGAGCCATGCTTGTCCCCGCGCTGCCCTGAGAGGGGTGGAGGAGGCCCAGGCTCCAGGCACGAGCAGGCTGGGGTGGTGCACGGCCGGATCTCTCCTGTTCTCTCCAGCCCGGGCAGCTTCCAGTTCCTCCCCGGCGGCTGGGCTTACTGGGCATCTGGCCAAACCATCAGGGCTGGCGCCAGTACATGGTGACATTTTAAAATCACGAGAGCCTGGTTCGGAGGAGGGAGAGGCGCTGGGGACAGCCGGGCCAGGATGATGGGACATGAGGTGGTCATGAAAAACACAGTAATGCTTCTTTTTTTTTTTAAGCTCTGGAAAGGAATGAAGTAAGTCGGGTATGGTGGCTCACACCTATAATCCCAGCCCCACAGAAGGAGGATCGCTGAGCCCAGGCGTTCAGGATGAGCCTTGGCCATACAGCAAGACCCTGTCTGGAAACAAAATGAAGGACAGGTGCCCTGAACTTTGCCACAATAGAAATGAACCCCCAAATCACGATGCTGCATGCCAGCTCACAGGTCACCTGCAAGCACCAGGCGCTTCCGGTGGCCAGGAGGTGGCCAGGACGGCGGGCGCGAGGCCGTGCGGGGCTGGTCCACGTTCACTGCCCACTCTTCAAAGGAGTGGGTTGTATATCTGGGTGCGATCTCCACTAAATCATTCAAAAATTCCCCCCCCCAAATTCTAGAACAGAGCCTTGCACGCACAGGGGAGGGGGTGGTGACTGATGGGGAAACTGAGGCAGAGGAGTGCAGCCAAGAAGGAGATTGGCTAGGGTGTGGCGTCAGGCCCCGCTCGCCTCCCCCTCCAGTGGAGAATGCGGACAGGACTAGCTCTTGCCCAGGGCAGCGCCCCACAAACGCTGGTTTCATTTGCTTCCCCTCCCCCTCCGCCCTGATCCCAGCAGGGCCGGTCGAACCGGCCGGGCTTCAGGTCTGGGAGTGCGGTAGCCAGCCCCATCCTGGGCACAGGCCTGGCAGCCGCTGCGGCCCTCGGGCAAGGGCTGGCTCACACGGGATCTATCACAACGCGAGGGTCAGCGGGCACCGGTGCCCACGCCTATGATCCTCGCTACTCAGGAGGCTGAGATTTGAGGATGGCAGTTCAGAGCCAGCCCAGGCAGAACAGTCTCTGGGATTTTTTTTGTTTCCCGCCCTGGGGGTTGAACTCAGGACCCCGGCACTGTCCCTGGGCCCTTTTGTTCAAGGCCAGCGCTCTAACACTTGAACCACAGCACCACTTCTGGCTTTTCAGTTAATTGAAGAGTCTTATGGACTCCCCCACACACACTCCCCCCCACCTGGGGAGGGGGGCTGGCTTTGAACCGAGATCCTCAGATCTCAGCCTCCTGAGTAGCTGGGATGACAGGCGTGAGCCACAGGCGCCTGGCTTACTAGTTCTGTAAGCGGCTCCCTCCAAGGGCAGGAGCATCTGCAGTGTGTGCTTCTGGGTGCCGCCAAGCCCCCCCTCCGTGCTAGCAGGAAGTTCAGGTTGCCACCTAGGGAAGAAGCCACGTCTACAGCCACACAGCCTAGCTGGCTCACACGCCAGGCCCCCTGACGGGGAAAGGGGCTGCACTGTAAAAGGGTGGATAGTAGGTCCTCAATAAACATGTCACAGGGATGTTTTCCTAGGTTAGCACTTACTGCACCAAGAAGCACAGGGTCCGCTGCTCTGTGATCAGCCTGGACTTGGGTGTGATTTGTTGTGGTGGTTCTTTATTTGGGGTGGGGGGGTCCTAGGGTTTGAATTCAGGGCTTTGTGCATAACAGGCAGGTGCTCTACTGCTCTGCTGACATGTGCCACGTGCCCTAATGCCATGCCTCCAGCCTGGTTTTAGTTTGTTTTTCAGACAGTAATCTTGTTAGCTTTGTTCAGACTGGTCTCAGACCTAGATCTCCCTACCTCCACTTCCAACGCAGCTGGAACTACAGCTGTGTACCACCACGCCTGGACTTGGACTCGGGTTTTGAAGGTCCTGCAGCACAGGAAGACCTTCGTACAAACAGCATGGTAACATTTTAAAAGTCAGGTACTGGGCCTTGTAATGAACCCCCATAAAACCAAAGCCCTGAAACGAGGTCCTGAAAGACCGCAGGGCCAGCAAAACCCCCAGACATTCCGAGATGGCTTTCAGAGAAGGGACCAGGCCAAACCAAAAAAAAAAAAGATGGGGTAAAATTCAATTAAAATCAACTTGTTGGTAGTTTTTACCCTTGTGGGTTTTTCTTATGTTAATGTCAAACATATAGAAAGTCAGTTCTTTATCTCAGGCTCCTCTGGCAGCTGGGGCAGGGCAGGCAGGCCAGGCGGGTGCAGCCGTGCTGCCCGAGGGCCCGCAGGGCTGGCGAAGCGGCCCCTTCCTGCCCGCCTCTCTGCATACACCGCTGTGGTCATGGTCATGGCCTCCTCCTTCCTGTGGCTGCCCCGGGCTGCAGCTGTGCCAGGCTTTCCCCCCCCGCCCCCCACTGCCGCAGACTCAGGGGTTCTGAACACAGATGCTGCCGTCATGCAGGGACAGACGGGAGCCTGAGTCACCCCGAGGCCCCTCAGAAGCCAGGCAGGATCGCAGCAGGATCAAATCCCATCTGCTTTGCTTATGAGCTGTGACACCCAGGGCTTGTACATGGCGTCTCTGAGCTTTGTTTTTTCCATCCATCTGTGGGAAAGCGGGTGCTCCTGCTCCTGTTTCCGTTGGGGTTTGGGGGGGACTGAAGGAACAGGATCATAAAGCGAGCGCACACAGTAATGGCTTCCACCTGTAACAAACTCTGCCCCCGAGCCCAGCTAAGCTGTCCCCCGCTGCTCAAATCCCAGGCACTAAGCCCTCAAGTCGTAATCCCAACTTCTGAGCAGGCATAGCGGCTCAAACTTCTAATCCTAACCATTCAGGAGGTGAAGACCTATAGAGGATCGAAGTTCAAGGCCAGCCAGGCAGAAAAGTCCGTGAGACTCCATCTCTAAGATAATTGGCAAAAACTGCTCTGGTTCAAGTGGTAGAGCACCAGCCAAGCGAGCAACTAAGAAGAAAGCATGAGATTCTGAGTTCAAACCCAATACTGACAAGGAGAAAAATCCTATCTGTCCTTAGATCTCAGCCGCCCCAGGAGCTAGAGTTACAGGCCCCCAGCACCCGGCCAAAGTTCTTTAAGACATCGTGTCAACCATTAGGCTGGTGTATATTGTAGCCAATGTATGCAAAAGTCACCTGCACAAGCCGGGAGCTGGGAGCTCACACCTGTAATCCGAGCTACTCAGGCGGCTGAGATCTGAGGATCTCAGGTCTGAGATCTGCAGTTCAAAGCCAGCCTGGGCAGAAAAGTCCCTGAGAGTCTTATCTCCAAGGAACCACCAGAAAAATCAGAAGTGGTGCTGTGGCTCAAGTGGTAGAGCGCTCGCCTTGAGTGAAAAAGCTCAGGGACGGCTCCCAGGCCCTGAGTTCAAGCCCCATGACCAGCAAAAACAACAAGTCACCTGCACTCATAAGATACATATAAAAGCCAAGTGAGCTCAAGCTTAGGCTTAGTTCAAGGTAACCATGAGTATGCAAATACTCCATAATCCCAACCCCCAAATCCAGAAACACCCCATACTGGAAATGCTTCTGTGGGCCTGAGCATTTTGGCTGAGCCCTGTCTGTGCTGCAGTGGGGTTCAGAAATGCCCCCCCACCCCCCAGCACTTCCTCCCTGCTCTGCCCCGCCCCTCCCCCACAGGCGGCTTCCTGCCTGCAGGGAGCCAGCAGCAGCCCGGGAGCTGACAGCTCTGAGCAGTGATGTCACAGGACACCCTGGGAGGGGGCTGGGGGGCCCAGGGCACAGAGGGGAGGAGGAGAGGGGGCCCCAGCCAGGCAGGGGCACCACCTGTGCATGGGGGTGACCCGGAGAGAGGCGGAGCAGGCGATGAGGATGCAGAGTTGGCTTTTTTGTTTTGTTTTGTAGGTCGTGGGGCTTGAACTCTGGGCCTGGGCGCTGTCCCTCAGCTCTTCAGCTCAAGGCGAGCGCTCTACCACTTGAGCCACAGCGCCACTTCTCATTTTCTGGGGGTTCGTTGGAGATAAGCGTTTCATGGTCTTTCCTGCCCAGCCTGGCTTTGAACCGAGATCTCAACCTCCTGAGTCGCTAGGATGACAGACCGGGAGCCAGCGGCTCATCTTGCTGGAGTCAGACCTGAGCGCTGAGGGCGGGGCGGGGCCTGTGGACGGCCCCCCCCTCCCAGGCCAGGGGGGAGGAGTCAGGCCAGGCCCTGCCCACCCTCCAGCTAGGACTCTCCCCCAGTGGGAACAGATGGAGATCTACAAGGGCCTCGGCATCGCCTCCGAACCAGGAACCGGGGTACCCTGGGCTCTCCCAGGAAAAACCCTGGGCGGACGCCTTACCGGATGGTGGGCTGGTCTCCGCTGAGCTGCTTGAACCGCCGGTGCAGCTGCTCGATCTGATCCGAGGAGACTGGGGAGGGAGGAGAGGGGACAGTTTAATTGTCCTTTTGAGTCCATTCCTGGGGCTTGAACTCAGGACTTGGGCGCTACCCCTACGCTTATTTTTTTTGCTCAATGCTAGTGCTCTACCATTTCCACGTTTTTTTTGGGGGGGGGGGGAATTAATTGGAAATGAAATCTCACAGACTTCCTGCCCAGACTAGCTGCAAGCTGCAAGCCTCAGATCTCAGCCTCCTGAATAGCTGGGATGGCAGGCGTGAGCCACAGGCCCCCATTCCCTTGCCCACTGAAGATGGGGTTTCCTAGCTTCAAGGGGCTTTGTAGAGACGCAGGGTCAGATGAGCGGGGACGGGGACGAGGTGGGAGGTGGGGTGATTTAGGCACCCCTGTTTGCTAGGCAGGTGCTCTACCACTTGAGCCACGCCTCCACAGCCTTCTTCCCTGTTGCGCAGGACGGCCCCGTGTCTGCCTGGCATGGACTCTGATCCTCCTCCTTGAGCTCCCCTGTGTCTCAGGGGATGACAGGCCACCGCTGCTGTGCCCAGCCTGGTGCTCCCCCCATAGCTGGGACGGCAGGCGGGGACCACCATACCCAGCCATTCATCGAGAAGGAGTCTTGTGGATTCTATTCCCAGGCTGGCCTCAAACCATGATCCTCTGGGATCGTGGAGGCTTGTGAACACCCGAGGGTTACACTGGGACGCTGAGGGGGCTGAAGACCATGGGGGGGGGTGGTAGAGCCATGACTGAGCCCTGAGCCTGCCCTTCCCTCCCTGTGCCTGTGGGCAGGGGCGGGGCAGCCTGCCCACCCTAGGAGGTCACTGGACACGACACAGGGTGTCCGTGTCGCTGCCCCCGGCCATCTGCGCTGGGCAGAAAGGTGCCAACCCAGCCAGCTCTGGGACCAGGTCCAGATCAGCACAGCAAAGCAGCGCGGGGCTGGGGGCCGCACCCCACCCCACCATTGCCACCTCCTCTCCAGTGGGCGGCTGCAGGGGCCGGGCTGGGCCTCAGCCTTCAGCCGCAGACCTTCAAGAATCCTCAGCTCCAAATCCTCCCGCACCCGGCAGATGCCGCTTGCTAGGAAAGACTAGTACCATCTGCCAAGCCTGGCTCAGCTCCAGACGTGAGCTCATCCCCTCCACGGGGCTCCCGGAGGAGCCCGGGGGTGCGCGGCGATACCTGGAAAGGCCAGGCACCTGCCAGGAACAATGTCTACCTTTCTGGAGGCAAACAGGGCCATGCGTGGGACAGGTGTGTCAGGAGCAGGCGTTGCAGAAGCCCCGCCCCGCCGCCCGTCCCCAGTCTGTAACTTAACAAAAATGCACGCCTGTGCTCTTCCAGAAGGTGGGCAGGATGCCCACACTGCTAAGTGTTAGGGACCCCGACCTAGGAATGGCCCACAGGCCACAGCAGCGAGAGCACTAACGGAATAGTACGCAGCCATGAAAACAGACAACATCCACAACAGTGAACGAAAGGAACCAGTCACAAAAGGCGGAGTTGAAGTGCAAGCGCACACATCTGTGGAGTTAGCCGTCAGAACAGTGGCTAGCCTCCTAGCTTTCTTTGGGTGCAGGGTCCCAGGTGGCAGAATTGTGTTCTGGAAAGTTCATTGAGCTGTATTCTCAGAAAGGATGCACTGCTTTTTTTTGGTCGGTCAGCCATGGGGCCTGAACTCTGGGCCTGGACACTGTCGCTCAGTTCTTCAGCTCAAGGCGAACACCCTACCATTTGAGCCACAGTGCCACTTCTGGTGTTTTCTGCTTATGTGGTGCTGAGGAATTGAACCCAGGGTCTCATGCACGCAAGGCAAGCACTCTACCACTGAGCCACCTTCCCAGCCCTGGGATGCGCTACTCTTGATGTGTTACAGTGCTGGTGGCTCATGCCTGTAATCCTAGCTACTCAGGAGGCTGAGATCTGAGGATCACGGTTCAAAACCAGCCCAAGCAGAAAAGCCCATGAGAATCTTATCTCCAACTACCAAAAAGCCAAAAGTGAGGGGTGTAGCTCAAGTGGTAGAACACCAGCTTTGAGAAGAAAAGCTCAGGGACAGCGCCCAAGGGTCAAGTTCAAGCCCCAGAAGTATGCACACACACACACACACACACACACACACACACACACTCACACACACACAGGTACAGTGACAGGCACTTGTAGTCCCAGCCACTTAGGAGGTGGAGACATATGCAGCAGACATTAGTTGGGCCGTTACAGCTCCCCTGAGTCCCCCCTACTCCACCCCGCCCCCCAGCACCTGGGGAGCACTGGGTGTGGAGCCCACTGAGAGCAGGGCTGGCTACTACATAGCTTCCAGCTAACCCTCCGAGAAGGGCCGGGAGCGTGCGCATGCTCTGCGCGCCCCCGCTCAGGGAGGGGCACGCCTCCTCCAGGCCCCTGCTCTGGGGCTCAGCCCGCAATGCACACGAGACTTGTGTTTTTTCCCACCTCTGGGGGTTGAACTCGGGGCCTTGGGCTTCCTAGGCAGGTTCCCGGCTGAGCCGCGCTGCCAGCCCTTGTGTTACTTTACTTTTTTTGTTGTTGTTTTCAGATAGGGTCTCGAGCTTTTGCCTGGGTCAGCTCTGCACCTCAATCCTCCTACTTTTGCCTCCGAGTAGCTGGGATCTGGGGGTGTGCAGGCGGGAACTTTCACCCCCTGCCTCAGGGCCTGATGGACGAAGCCGGGTCTAAGTCCTGGGACCAGGGAGGGGCTGCACCCCTGCTCTCTCCCAGAGAGAGAGGGCAGGATATGCTGTCCCCCGCAGCAGCGCGGGGCCAGACGCCCAGCACCCCCACCCAGCAGCGCGGGGCCAGACACGCAGCACACACACCCCCCAGCAGCACGGGGCCAGACGCCCAGCACCCCCCTCCAGCAGTGGGGGGTCAGACGCCCCAGCATCCCCCCCCAGCAGCGCGGGGCCAGATGCCCAGCACACCCCCCCCCCCAGCAGCGCGGGGCCAGACGCCCAGCACCCCCCTCCAGCAGCGTGGGGCCAGACGCCCCAGCACCCCCCCAGCAGCGCGGGGCCAGACGCCCAGCACCCCCCTCCAGCAGCGTGGGGCCAGACGCCCCAGCACCCCCCCAGCAGCGTGGGGCCAGACGCCCCAGCACCCCCCCCCAGCAGCGCGGGGCCAGACACGCAGCACACACCCCACCCAGCAGCGCGGGGCCAGACGCCCAGCACCCCCCCCAGCAGCGCGGGGCCAGACGCCCAGCACCCCCCTCCGCCCGCAGGGGCCAGACGCCCAGCACCCCCCTCCGCCCGCAGGGGCCAGACGCCCAGCACCCCCCCAGCAGCGCGGGGCCAGACGCCCAGCACCCCCTCCAGCAGAGCGGGGCCAGACGCCCCAGCACCCCCCCCAGCAGCGCGGGGCCAGACGCCCAGCACCCCCCCCCAGCAGCGCGGGGCCAGACGCCCAGCACCCCCCTCCGCCCGCAGGGGCCAGACGCCCAGCACCCCCCTCCGCCCGCAGGGCCCCAGCTCTGCAGTCTGCTCTCTCTGCAGACTGGGAAGCGAGGTGCCGTGGGAGGACACACAGCCCGCTGCCCACGCCACGGCCTTGGTGACGCCACGCAGTGTTCACGGCTGTGGAGCGTGAAGGAGCGAAGGCAGCACCCAGGCACCGAGTTCAAGCCCCAGGACCGGCACACACACGAGAATGCGTGTGCTGAAAGCACTAACTCAGACTAGAGGGAGACAAGCTGACTCAAGCAAGCAGCGCAAGGCAGAGATGGGAGGGGGGAGTGAATTACTGGAGAAAGTTCTAGAATGTGCACTACAACAGGAGAGACATGGGCAGCTTTTTTCTTCTTCTGAGGTGCTGGGGTTTGAACTCGGGCCTTGGTGCTTGCCAGCAAGCACCCTGCTCTGAGCTCACCCCCAGAGCCCCCTGGCTATCAGATGCGGTCTCCGACCCGCGCACACACTTGGACAGCAATCCTCCCGTTTCTCCCTCTCTGTGGTAGCTGGCACGCAGGCTGGGCAGCAGGCCCAGGCATGGCTGAGAAGCGCTCTTCCCTAGGTGCCCTGGCTGGTGGTCTTGAACCCTGACCCCCTGGCCCGAGCCCTCCAGCATGTGGCCGGGCCGGCTTCTGAACGGCACGTGGCTGGACCGAGCAGCACACCTGTCCCGCCGGAGACGCCTGGAATCTGGAGCCCACGTGTAAACACAGAATTCATGGGTGTCTCAGCCCCGTCTTACAGCACGGCTGGCCTGGGGGTGACCCTCTGACAATGACATAGCACACGAGGTCACGGTGGAATTTTCCACGGGGGGGGGGGCTCAGGAGGCTCGCAGTCTGTGGAGTCTTCTGGATTTCAGGTCAGGGCTGCTCAAGCTGCCCTGGCCAACAATGATGGAGCCCCGTGCTATGCCATGAGCCTTGCCAGATGCTCGCCTAACCCTGACCAGTGCCAGGCTCTCCCCCCACCTCCCGCCACAGAGGCTCTGGGAAGCAGCGCCCTGCCTACAGGACGAGAGGAAGAGCCTGATTTGAACCCACATCTGCAGGAAGGCCAGTCTGCCCGCCACCACGAGGCCCAGGATGAGCCCTGGGGTGACACAGGGGTGCCTGGGGCGCTGAGCCTCGGAGGAGCTGGAGAAGCTATGTGTGACCTGGGCCCAGCCCCGGCGAGGTGTCCCCTGACGGCTAGAGAGAACTACCCCCCCCCCTTCCAGTCACCTGCCCCTAGGAAGCCCCAGACTGCGGGGAGGAGGTCTGGAGGAGGGCGGCAGGAGGGCGGGAGGAGGGCGGGAGGAGGGCGGGAGGGGCGGCCTGCTGTCTGCAAAGGTCACTCGGCTGACCACAAAGGACCTTCTTGTCCCTGTGCTGAAGGTAACCGCAGCACCGCGGAAATCCTAGCCGGCCTTCATGAATTCCTAATGAAGTCGGAGCAGCCTCGTTGGGGACCGTGCAGGGCGCCTGGCGCCTCCCGCAGCCTCCTGCAGCCTCCTGCAGCCTCCTCCACAGCCTCCCTCAGCCTCCTGCAGCCTCCCCCACAG